TGATTAATTTACAGTGAGATCGATTAATCTAAAATGAGATTGATTAATTTACAGTGAGATCGATTAAATTAAAGTGAGATTGATTAATTTACAGTGAGATCGATTAATCTAAAATGAGATCGATTAATTTAAAGTGAGATCGATTAATTTAAAGTGAGATTGATTAATTTACAGTGAGATCGATTAATTTACAGTGAGATCGATTAATTTAAAGTGAGATCGATTAATTTAAAGTGAGATTGATTAATTTAAAGTGAGATTGATTAATTTAAAGTGAGATCGATTAATCTAAAATGAGATTGATTAATTTACAGTGAGATCGATTAATTTAAAGTGAGATTGATTAATTTACAGTGAGATCGATTAATTTATAGTGAGATTGATTAAACTAAAGTGAGATCGATTAATCTAAAATGAAATTGATTAATTTAAAGTGAGATCGATTAATTTACAGTGAGATTGATTAATTTACAGTGAGATCGATTAATTTAATGTGAAATTGATTAATCTAAAGTGAGATCGATTAATCTAAAGTGAAATTGACAATTAATATATAAAAGTGTGTATGAGATTCTACTTTTCAAATCGGAAACATTCAAATCGCCGCACATGCTTAGAAGAATGTTGCATATTTTCATACAAGTAGGTATTAAAATATGAAAAGTCGATGGATTTTGACATGCAATTTCTTTACAAACCAAAGTTTTGTATGAATACCAGAAAATTTACATCTTGAATGTTTACATTGGTTTCGTTTAATAACAGTTGTGGTATTTACGTTATCACAGCATATAACAAAACATTCCAAGCTCACTCCTGCTACCTACTGGACAACAAGGTAAACTCACTAGATAAATTATCAGATGCGAGTATTAAATAATTATGAAACTCAATTTAAAAACAAAAATAAAGGTTATTAGCATACAGTTTGTTTGTTGTTAGACGTAAAGCTGTGCTGTGCCCACCACGGGCATCAAAATCCGAGTTTTAGCGTTATAAGCCTTCATACTTGCTGCTGAGCCACTAGGGGCATCAGTATACAGAAGAAGGGGTAAAACCACGTGACTCCTTCACTTAGTAAACATAGCTATAGTTTGGGTATATGCCAGCCTCAGTGGTGCTATCTTTGTTGTAATATGTTCTCTTTAGACAAGTCAAATATAATTACATATTGCATACAAAATTAAAGGTGTTTACTCCACGAACCTTGGCGTATAGAAAAAGGGTCAGAGAGATAGGATGTTTAAATTTACAGAGAATGTTTTGAAAGTTACAAGTGTATTTAGACCTATACTTTCATGTCTCTACACAGCGAGTTCAACCTTCGAGCACAGTATATATTCTACCCAAGTTAATGAAACATAAATCCACTCATGTTGTAAACAAACGAGATAGGAAATTAGATCAAACATTTTTCCCATGATCATTTGAAGTTCTGATGCATTTTAGAAACAGACAATTTTCTTTCCCATCATCGGTGTTTACTCATGTTATAAAATAAAAGCAATAAAAAAGGACCTTTAATAAATCACTTAGGCTAGCGTTGGAGAGGAGAGGATGTATGGGTTCATTATGCATGTATACTGTAATCTACAGACAAATATTGAAGAAGATAAAATGCATGAAGTGAATATGTATATATATATATATATATATATATATTGTACATGATAT